ACATGAGAAGCAAGGAAAGATCTAAAATTGACACCCTATCATCAAAATTGAAAGAGCTAGAGGAGCAAGATCAAAAAAACTCAAAACCTAGCAAAAGACAAGAAATAACTAAGATCAGAGCAGAACTGAAGGAGATAGAGACACAAAAAACTTTCAAAAATCAATAAATCTAGGAGCTGGTTTTTCGAAAACATCAACAAAATAGACAGACCACTAGCCAAATTAATGAAAAAGAAAAGAGAGAATAATCAAATAGATGCAAGAAAATACAATAAATGGGATATCACCACAGATTCCACAGAAATACAAATCATCATCAGAGATTATTACAAACAACTCTATGCACATAAACTAGCAAATCTGGAAGAAAAGGATAAATTCCTGGACACTTGCATCCTCCCAAGCCTAAACCAGTAAGAAGTCGAAACCCTTAATAGACCAATAACAAGGGCAGATGTTGAGGCAGCAATTAAGAGCCTACCACCCAAAAAAAGCACAGGTCCAAATAAGTTCACAGCCGAATTCTACCAGACATACAAAGAGCAGCTGGTACCATTTCTTCTGAAACTATTCCAAACAATCCAAAAGAAAAGAATCCTTCCCAAATCATTTTGAGACCAACATCATCCTGATATCAAAACCTGCAGAGCCTCAGCAAGTAAAGAAAACTTCAGGCCAATATCCATGATGAACATAGATGCAAAACTCTTCAACAAAATACAGGCAAACCAATTGCAACAGCACATTTAAAAGCTTATCCACCATGATCAAGTAGGCTTTTTCCCAGGGATGCAAGGCTGGTTCAACATACACAAGTCTACATATGTAATTCACTACATAAGTAGAACCAAAGACAAAAACCACATGATTATCTCAATAGATGCAGAGAAGGCCTTTGACAAAATACTACAACCCTTTTTGCTAAAAACCCTCAATAAACTAGGTATTGATAGAACATATCGCAAAATAATAAAAGCTACTTATGACAAACCCACAGCCAATATCATACTGAATGGGCAAAAACATTCAGTATGTTTGAAATCTGGCACTAGACAAGTCTGCCCTCTCTCACCACTCCTATTCAATATAATATTGGAAGTTCTAGCCAGAGCAATCAGGCAAGTAAAAGAAATAAAGGGTATTCAATTAGGAAAGGAGGAAGTCAAATTGTCTCTATTTGCAGATGACATGATTGTATATTTAGAAGACCCCATGGTCTCAGCCCAAAATCTCCTGAAACTGATAAGAAACTTCAGTAAAGTCTCAGGATATAAAATCAATGTGCAAAAATCACAAGCATACCTATACATCAATAACAGACTGAGAGCCAAATCAAGAACAAAGTGCCATTCACAATTGCTACAAAGAGAATAAAATACCTAGGAATACAACTAACAAAGGATGTAAAGGACCTCTTCAAGGAGAACTGCAAACCACTGCTCCGTAAAATAAGAGAGGACACAAGCAGATGGAGAAACATTCCATGCTCATGGTTAGGAAGAATCAATATCATGTAAATGGCCATACTGCCCAAAGTAATTTACAGATTCAACGTTATCCCCTTCAAGCTACCAAAGACTTTCTTCACAGAACTGGAAAAAAAAAACACCTTAAACTTCATATGGAATCAAAATAGAGCCTGCATAGCCAAGTCTATTCTAAGCAAAGAGAACAAAGCTGAAGGTATCACATTACCTGACTTCAAACTATACTATAAGGCTACAGTAATCAAAACAGCATGGTACTGGTACCAAAACAGACACACCAATGGAACAGCACAGAGGCCTCAGAGGCAAAACCACACATCTACAACCATCTGATCATTGACAAACCTGACAAAAACAAGCAATGGGGAAAGGAGTCCCTGTTTAATAAATAGTGTTGGGAAAACTGGCTAGCCATGTGCAGAAAGCAGAAACTGGACCCCTTCCTGACACCTTACACTAAAATTAACTCCAGATGGATTAAAGACTTAAACATAAGACCTAAAACCATAAAAACCATATGAGAAAATCTAGGCAAAACCATTCAGGACATAGACATAGGCAAGGACTTCATGACTAAAACACCAAAAGCATTAGCAACAGAAGCCAAAATAGACAAATGGGACCTACTTAAACTCCAGAGCTTCTGCACAGCAAAGGAAACAGTCGTTAGTGTGAATCAGCAACCAACAGAATGGGAAAAAATTTTTGCAATCTACCCATCTGACAAAGGGCTCATATCCAGAATCTACAAATAACTAAAACTGATTTACAAGAAAAAAAATCAAACAAGCCCATTCAAAAGTGGGCGAAGGATATGAACAGACACTTTTCAAAAGAAGACATATATTAGGTCAACAAACATATGAAAAAATGCTCATCATCACTGGTCATTAGAGAAATGCAAATCAAAACTATATTGAGATACCATCTCCGCCAGTTAAAATGGCAATCATTAAAAAATCTGGAGACAACAGATGCTAGAGAGGATGTGGAGAAATAGGAACACTTTTACACTGTTGGAGGGAGTGTAAATTAGTTCAACCATTGTGGAAGACAGTGTGACAATTGTTCAAGGACCTAGAAATAAAAATTCTATTTGACCCAGCAATCACATTACTGAGTATATATCCAAAGGATTAAAAATCGTTCTATTATAAGGACACATGCACACGTATGTTCACTGTGGCACTGTTTACAATAGCAAAGACTTGGAACCAACCCAAATGCCCATCGATGATAGATTGGACGGGAAAATGTGGCACATATACACCATGGAATACTATGCAGCTATAAAAAATGATGAGTTCCTGTCCTTTGTAGGGACATGGATGAACCTGGAAACCATCATTCTCAGCAAACTGACACAAGAACAGAAAATCAAACACCACATGTTCTCACTCATAGGTGGGTGTTGAACAATGAAAACGCATGGACACAGGGAGAGGAGCATCACACACTGGGGTCTATGGCGGGGAAATAGGGGAGCGATAGGAAGGAGTTGGGAGTTGTGGAGGGATAACATGGTGAGAAATGCCAGATATAGGTGATGGGGAGGAAGGCAGCAAACCACACTGCCATGTGTGTACCCATATAACAATCTTACATGTTCTTCACATGGACCCTCAAACCTAAAATGCAATAAAAAATACACATGTTTATCTCTTGCTTTGAGTCTTCTTTTCTGAAAAGCTCCCATGTCACATAAAACTGACATTTAATAATTTATATAATTTTATTAATTTGCCTTTTGTTATAGGGGGCTCAACCATAATCCTAGCAATGGGAAAGGAAAACATCTTGCACTTTCTACAAGTATATCCAATGTGGTCTTGGTTTTCTAATTAAATATATTGGATAACTATGGTATACACACACACACACACACACACACACACACACACTTGCACAAAAAGTAAGTATTTCCTTGTATCATTAATATATAAATTATACAAAGTCTAAACAGGTATGCAAACATTTGGTCTGGGCTGTCTTGGATTGCAAGTCATTTTACATTTTCTTTATATGTTTTTCAGCTTCCATTCCAGATTTTCTGAAAGCATGTATTTTATAATTTGACAAACTTTTAAAAAAATATTGTTCTGTAGAGAAGGATAGAAAGGGACCAAGCTGAGGCAGATGCCAGTTGTTTTATGGCTGACGTGGAATGCGGGGATGAGGACAAATTTGAGAAAGATCATTTAACAAACTAGAACCTACAGAAGTTGGACAATAATGGGGATGGCGGAGAATAGATGAGGTAAGGGAATAGTCTAAGATAATGGGTGGATGAGTGTGCCATTCCCTGAAGTAGGAAATACAGCAAACTAACAAGTTTGGAATGGGGAGAAGACAAAGGATATTTGGGACTGTTGAGTTTGAGATGCCTGGGGACCTCTAGACAAGGTTGTCTAATAGATAATGGGAAATAGATCTGGAACCTTGAAGAGTGGTGTCAGATGAGAGTACACATTTGGGAGTCATGTTCACTGTTTTGATGCAGTACATAATGGAGAGCCTTCAGAGAAGCATATTGAACAGAAGATAAAGCTCTAGGGAAGAGTGAGGTGAATAGAGAGAAGGCTGAGGATGCTAAGAGCAAACAGAAAATCAGAAGAGTATAACATCGCAAAACCGAGGGAAGATAATTTCAAAAAGAAACAGACATGGCGAGAGATAAGAATTTTTCGGTAAGAGAGAAGACCATGCTTTTTGGATTGCTAGTCAAGGTTGTACATGATCTTAAGGAAGCTTTTTTGGAGTGGTTCCAGTGAAAGATAAATTGTAAAAACTTGGGAGGCAGAAGGAGGCTCAGAATGTAGCAGGTTTGGAATGACTTGGTGAATGTAGATCATCCTCTCAGGAAGCATGGGAACAAATTAAGAGGGTGATGGTCCCAGGTATATTTACATGTCAAAGACTGCTTTCCTTGCCCATAAAACAAGGAAAATACAGGTAGTACCTTTTCAGCAGTGGTGTCCTAAGGATTAAAATCTATTACTAAGGAAATATACTTGTCTCCTTTGGCTGAATCAAAATTTATTGTTGCTAATCACCATGTATTCATTTTCATAATATCTTAATCATTAAAGTCAAGTGAATAACAAAACAAACAGTTAACTGGCTCTGTGTTTCCCTAGCTCAAGTTCTTTGACTGTGTATACCCAAGTTTGACCTTAAAAGATATTAATATTTCATTCCTCAGCACTTAGAACAAGGACAGTTTCAGTTTGGTCTGGAAATAAGGCAGAATTTCTCCTCTCATCCTGCCTTCCAACTGAAGAAGTGACCTCAAATGGAGATCCTAAGAGGAAATGTCACTTGCTCTATGAATCAGTGTGCCCCACTGAGAACATGTATTGTGGATTGGTTTAATATCCAAAAATTTCTTCAGATCCAACTCTTGACATCTCTGACAAGAGGTATCTTGACAGACACTTTTCCTGTTTTGAAGACTTCAAAAGACCTAATGAGTTTATGCTTTATGAAGTCATACAGCCATGGATGTGATGTCACAGGTGTGGCCAGCTCACCAGGAAGCAGGCAGAGCAGGGAAGGCTGAGTCCACACTCCACACTGCAAGCGCAAAGAGCAGGAAACTACCTTGAGTTATTCTATCCAAACCCAAGTCTCAAAAGTCCTCAATTTCCCAAGAAGGCAGTGATAGAGGCCACAACCCAGGGGGTCATCTCTCAAGGTACCAATAGCTTTGCAGGTAAGAACACAGGGCCTCCTCTCTTTCCAGACAGTCCAGTTCAGACATTTCTAACCTAAAAGAAGGGTTCTGATCACCACCAGAAAACAAACAAAAAAAAAACAGATTGAGGAAACAGAAAATACATCATCCTTTTAGAATATTATTTTTATAAATATGCCCTTAATTTAGCCTAGTTAGTGGAAATTTCTCAAGTGTGTATGTGTCTGTACGAACGTTGTGTATTTTAAACTTTTTGGAGCTCAGCCAGATATTTTGAATGCTAATCCTAGCAAAATTTCCCTTTAAGGATGTCCTGCAGAGAGTTTGTTACTCATAGTTTTAAGTAAAAATTGACAAGAAGTGCTTTTTCAGCCCAGTAGGAGTCATGTGCATGTCATAAGACTTGAAGGAAATGCAGGGACCCTCCTATTTTCTCCTGCAAAGTTGAAAAATCTGCATGCAGTTGGAAGGGATCTTCAGATGGTGCTGGTGACTTTCTGTTCCTTTTGGAGTTGACATGCATATGGATTGGAGGAAAAATAATCAATATACATTCTCCTTTCATACTCTTTAAATCACAGGAAGAAGTGCCTTGAAGACAAAGTGAGTTCTTTTCCCCGAAAGTTTCCTTTGTTTTGTTTATGTGGTATTTTGACTTCTCTAATTGTTTTTTTAAGGATGAGAAATTTTAATAAACCTTCCAGTAACTGCTTAAGAGAAAACTTTTGCTTGGCAAAAGTGGATACCTTTTGAAGTTTCTTAGCCATTTTAGCTAAAGGTTATCAAATTTTATATGCTGAGATTTTCAGATTTCTCATTCTTCTAACTTGCATGTGGAGGTAACATAGTGACCAGATAACCCTCTGGAATTGCCTCTTGAGTTTTTCTAACGATCTTAATGCAGGGTATAGCTTTATTGGTATAAAAAGAAGAAGAAGAGGAGGGCTCTTGAGATTTTATTTGGCTTAATTTATTTGAATGAATAACATTATCACTGAGGATATTTTATCACTAGATTTATATTTCGGGAGCACATTCTGAAGTCACTTACAGGTTTTAAGTAAAAGGAGTTAATGAGATTCCTGCTATTTTCAAGAAAAATCTGCCTACTTTCCAGAAGTGGGCATACAAAAATTCGTAATCTTAAATTTCCTAAGATAAAAATATCTGTGTCTCCAGCCCACAGAGATATATAATAGACTATATCAATCTAAAGTGCTACTTCTTGAAATGGAGGTAGTGTTGTTATTCAGGCGAAAAGCATACATCCCATATGTGCTAATGCATTCTCTCACTATTTTAGTCATATCCTCTTTGGTACCTATCATTCATTTGAAAACCAAAGCAGCTCCTCAGCTGTCAGTTTAGACTTTAGAAAATTGGAAAGTAAAAATAAACATTATTAACAAAATGCTTAGCTCTTATACACAAAACATAAGAAAATCCTTGAGCCATTTTAGCCATCATTTCATATCCACAATACCACCATGTGTAAATGCCAGCATTTTTATTAGGAAAGCATATGGATTAAAATTTAACTTAAGTATTTCAAACATATGTATCATACAAGATACTTCTTAACATATGTGTTATGATATATGCTTAAAGCCATAATCTAAATTGCTTAAGGGGAAGGTAAACTCTGGTGTCTGTTTTCTACATTTGTTGTTTCTATTCTCACATTATCATTAGTTGCCAATTCTGGGACTGTTCTACCTAAGCAAGAGCAGCAGATTTGTGTGTTAATATAACACCTCACCTCACTGACAAATTTACCTCTTATTTCTCTTAAACTTGCCAACATTTTGAGTAAAGCTGAATTAATTTGTGTATCTTACACAAGACTGGGTACTTTTCTACTATAATATTACAACTCTGTGTTTAGAATATTTAGAGAAGCGTTGATTTGTTTCTGCTTTTATTTTTATGTTTTCAATCAAGGGAACATGATCTCTTTAGAAATGAAAGCCGAATACTTGGGTTCGCATGGAAAGCTTCGAATCAGATATTAGTTAAACCAGTTTGCATTTCCCTGTTCTTGTAATTATCTTTTTCTTCTCTGATTATCATCATTTTTCTTGTTTACTTTTTGGTACCCTGAAATATGATTGAGGAAGAGGAAGAGAAGAAAGAGGTAGAGGAAGAGGAGGAGAAAGAGGACTCCTTTTTGCCCAGCATGCCTCAAATCCCTGCAAAATAATCAGCTTGAGGCCGGGCATCATGGCTCACTTCTGTAATCCTAGCTTTGGGAGGCCAAGGAAGGGGGATCACTTGAGCCCAGGAGTTCAAGACCAGCCAGGGCAACATAAGGAGACTCTATTTAAAATAAAAATAAATAATAAGCTTGCTGATGACATACCCTAGTATTTTATGTGAACTAGTAAGGTATTCTTAGGGTTTGTATTCACCTTATCCTCACCATATATCTAAACTTTCACACAGGCTAATTACCCTGATTAGAACATACTGTATGTCAACAGCAAGGTTTAAATTCATTAAATAAATAAAGCTAGAGAGTCTATTTGAAAGCAATAATGTGATGTGGAGAAGAGAGTCAAGGTTTTGAGGTGTCATTCATGCCGAGTTTTCTATGAATGAGGGCAGGTTAGTTTACCTCCCTAACTTAAAGATATAATTAAAACAGTTGTGTTATAGAATTTTATATTAGAATAATAGTAACAGTAGTCATTTTTATTTTGATTTCTTCTTAAATTCTTCAGTTTTACTTCAGGCACTGATGTACCTTAAATTTATCTCACTTAATTTTCAGCTATGAGCTATTCCTTTGCGTATTCATTTTGTCAAAGGAGTATTCACCAAATGGATCCTGAGTTTTATTTTTCAGTAGATTATTTTGATATATTCAGATTGTCTCCTCACATTTAAAAACATACCTTTTTGTATTTCATATTTCATTGCAATTATAATGCTCTAAAGATGGTGGTGTGGAAGTGGGATGGAGAAATGTGCTTCTGAGGCTTATTCTCCAGCTTGATTCTGTTTAATTACCTCTTATAATTGTTCATAAAACAATTTACAGAACATCTCATAAGTCACATGATTTCTAATGTTTCTTAATTTTTTTTTGCTTTCATTATTATTACTATAGACAAATAATTGTACATATCTATGGGGTACAATGTGATATTCGTATACATGTATAAAACAATGATCGAATCAGGGCAATTAGCATATTTATCACCTTAAATATTTTTTATTTCTTTGTGTTGGGAACATTTAAAATCCACTCTTCTAGCTATTTGAAAATATACAATAAATTGCTAATTATAGTTACACTATAGTGCTATAGAACACTCAAACTTACTCCTCCTATCTAGCTGTATTTTGTATTTCTTAGCCTACCTTTGACTCTTTCTTTCCCCTACCCTTTTCTGCTTCTAATAAGCACTATTCTGCTCTCTACTTGTATGAGATCAACTTTTTTAGCTTCTTTATATTCATGAGGACATGCAGCATTTATCCTTCTGTGTCTAGCTTATTTCACTTAAAATAATGTCCTCCAAGCTCATTAATGTTGCCTTGAATGACAGAAATTTGTTCTTTTATGCAACTAAATAATATTCCATTGGTATATATAGCACCTTTTTAATCCATTCACCTATTGATAGGAACGTAGGTAATTTCATATCTTGGCTATGTATCGTAAGTAGTGCTGTAATAAACGTGAATACCGACAACTCTTTGACATCTGAATTTCCTTTCCTTTGGCTATATATCCAGTAGTAGGACTGTGGGATGATACGGTAGTTCTAGTTTTAATTTTTTGAAGCACCTTCATACTGTTTTCCACAATGGACATACTAATTACCTTCTTCCAAATAGCATATAAGAGTTTGCTTTTCACCACATACTCTCAGCTTTTTTGTCTCTTTGGTAATAGCCATTCTAACCGGGGTGACATAATATATTCTTGTAGTTTGGATGTGCATAACCCTGATGATTAATGATGTTGACAATTTTTTGTACATACCTATTGGCCATTAGTATGTCTTCCTTGAGAGATGTCTATTCAACTTATTTGCCTACTTTTTAATGTGATTTTTTTGCTATCAAGTTGAATTTATTTTATCTTAGAAATACTAAACTCTCATCAGATAGTTTGCAAATATTTTCTCCTATCCTGTAGGTTGTCTTTTCACTCTGTTAATTGTTTCCTTTGCTGTGCAGAAGCTTTTTAGTTTGACAATTTTCCATTTGTCTGTTTTTTGCTTTGGTTGTCTGTGCTATTGAGGTCTTATCCATGAAATCTTTGCTCACAACAACATCCTACAGTATTTCCCCTATGTTTGCTTCTAGTTACTTCATAGATTCAGGCCTTATATTTAAGTTTTTAATTCATTTTGAGTTGATTTTTACATGTTATGTGAGATAGAAATCCAGTTTCATTTTTCTGCATATGAATAGTCAGTTTTCCCAGCATCATTTTTCAGAGACTGTTCCTTCTCCATTAAATGTTCTTGGCAGCTTTGTTGAAAATCATTTGGCTGTAAATATGTGAATTTATTTCTGGGTTCTCCATTCTGTTCTATTGTTCTATGTATCTATTTATATGCCAATATTATGCCGTCTGGGTTACTATAATTTTGAAATATATTTTGAAGTTTAACAATGTGATTTCTCCAGCTTTGTTCTTTTTGCTCAGGATTGCTTTGGCTATTCAGGGTCTTTTGTGGTTTCATATAAATTGTAGGAGGTTTTTTTTTTCTATTTCTGTGAAGAATGTCATTGGTATTTTGATAGGATTGCACTGAATAAGTAAATCACTTTTAGCCGTGTCATTTTTTACAATATTAATGTCTCCAATTCATGAACATGAGATATGTTTTCATTTTTGTGTCCTCTTCAATTTTTATCATCAGTGTTTTGTAGTTTTTCTTGTAGAGATATTTTACCTCCTTGGTTAAATTTATTCCTATGTGGGTTGTTTTTTATAGCTATTATAAATGCAATTTGTTTCTTGATTTTTTTCCACTAGTTTGCCTATGGTGTATAGAAAAGCTACTGGGTTCTGTTATGTTTATTTTGTATCCTGCAACTTTACCAAATCCGTTGATCAGTTCTGAGATTTTTTGTGGCACTTTTATAGTTTTCTACATAGAAGTTCTTGTCATCGGCAAATTAGGACAATTTGACCTCCTTTTTAATTTAGATACTCCTTATGTCCTTTTCTAGCCTAAGTACTCTGTCTAGGGTTTCCAGTACTATGTTGAATAAAAGTGATGAAAGTGAGATCATTGTCTTGTTCCAGATCTTAAAAGAAAAGCTTTAAACTTTTCTCCATTCAATGTCATGTTGGCTATGGGTTTGTCATACTTTATATGGAAGTATATTTTTTCTGTACCTAACTTGTTGAGAATTTTTATCGTGAGGGGATGTCGAATTTTTCTCAGATACTTTTTCTGTTATCTATTGGGATGATAGAATGGTTTTGCCCTTCATTTTGTTGATGTATTGTATCACATTTATTCATTTGTGTATTCCATCCCTGGGGTAAATCCTACGTATATGGTGAATAATAACATGCTGCCGGATTGGTTCACTAGTATTTTGTTGAGGATTCTTTTCTTTTTCTTTTTTGTTAT